TGGGAACATGTAAGAATGCAAAGAAAACTACTACTACACTTTGTGTTTACTTTATACATCATCGAATTTTTGCACAATTTTAATAATCTGTTATCAGAAATTTTTTTATTTACACATATGGCACCTAAACTACAATGAACAAACACAGTTTCTTTAATCATTATGTATTTATCCATGTTAAGCTAAGTTTCAAATGAAAACCTGATTTATGGTGCATATACACACATGCTTCCCAAACTCTATGCATTAATTTCAAAGGGTGAATGATCTGTGTTGGAATATCATGTTGGCTTATAAGTTGGAAAATACGAGGGTTTAAGGGAATGATGTATATCACTATACTCATGCTTATATAGCTGAAACTTTTAAACCAATAGTTGATTAGTAGTTGCTCGTTTCATTATTGTAGGTTGTTGGTGGCTTTAACCCCAACTCTGAATGACTTGTGAACCATAGCGTCGTACTGTTGGTTACTGAAAATCTAGAAATCGTCATGCTACAAAAGCACCACATACATGAACATTATATACATGTGACACATGGTTGAGGATTCTTACCTTTGATATGTTCACTTGTCAGTTATTAGTTATGTCGTAGGCCTTAATATCAGTACTCATGGGTTTTTTTTTTTTTTTTAAAGATTTACACGAATACCCCTCCATTCCTCAATTCCTATGTTTTTTATGTGATATGATAGATTTGGGTGGCATAAACGTAGAAACAAGTTCAGTTAGATATGTAAATACATAAGAATTGGGTGGAATGTATGTAAATGCTACCCTTTTTATAATACATAAGAATTGATTTGTAGAGATGAAAAGAGTTTCCATGGCGATTAAGCAGCTTGGATGACCTATGACTCCAAGGGCAACCACCTCTTTAAAGATGAGCAGCAGATAGTTTATACTTTATCTTGAGTTAAAATGAATGGGTTTCACAATCTCTGAAAGCCATAAATATTTTTGTGTCATAAATCTGTCCGACTTGACAACATTATGTATGGTTATAATTTTTGTTGGATCTTACTACCTGTTGACCTGTTGTACAATGTTGTATATCATTTTCCTCAATTTTTGGACTGATCTATTCTTATTTTAATATCTGCAGGACAATGAGTTGCAGATATTCAGGGAAGTCCGAGAAAGTGATGTGTCGGTGAGGACTACCATCCTTGCTACTCACGTCACGCCAGACACAGTTTTGGAAGGCAATTTTCCAGGTGTCTGAGGTGGGCACAACAACAGGAGGACTGCAGTTTCTTCAGGTGGGCCGACAAGGAGTCTATTTCTATGATATCCCAGAAGGATAACCCAGATCGGAGTTCGTCGATATCAACATTTCAGAACACTGCATCTGGTTCGAGTGCTTCTATTTCTACGGTATCCCAATCGGACAGATTTGCTCAGGGTTATGTAGTTTCAGAGCCAGGTGGCATGGGACGTGATATGCTGCTACATTATAAAGTTAATATTATCATATTTTTACTTGTCATTTTAACATGTTATTTTTTCTTTTTTATGGGTTCTCATTATACTTTGTATTAGTATATGCAGGTGCATTTGACTTTTGTATGTGTAACATATTCGTTTGATGTGATTATATATGTTTTAGTTATATAAATATAAATCAACTTTTTGGTATTTTCTTGTTTGAACAGTGATCTTTAATTTTATTGAGAAAATAACAAATTCTGCTGCACAGATTATTCATTTAATTAAAAAAAATTTCCAAATAAGTTGTTTACAAAACGCACTAACCAAACAGCTAAACTGCTTATTCAAAACAGAGACAAAATGGTCAATTTTCCAGAATCAGCTGTTTTTCATAAGCGCCAACCAAACAGCCAAACAGCTTATCCGGATCAGCTAACAGCTTATCCGGATCAGCTATCCGGATCAGCTGCTTATCAGCAGATTATCAGGATAAGTTGCTCATCAGCAAATTATCGCCAAAGTACAAAAAATTGCTATTTCAAAAAACTAACTTTGAACTTCGCTATACAACAACTGCACTCACGAGAAGCAGTGTCATGATCGCACAATTTCGTCCGCTATCTGGTCTCGCAATGTCGTCATTTCCCTTGCACCTTCACCTTCGTGTCTGTAAGGATGTTCTGATTCATCCTGAGGTATGGGTCGTCCGACATGGAATTCAAATGATTCTTGTGGAATATGATGCAAGTTTTCATCCACAGATGCAAAATCCTCATCGGAGCGTGAGTGGTGTCGTCGTATGTAGTTATACAGAGCCATTATTGCCACAACTATTTTTACTTGTTTCGCAAATGGGTAGGTTGGCATGTCACGTAATATCACCCACTTCTTTCATATCCCGAATGACCTCTCAATGACACAACGTAAAAAAGAGTAGTTTGTTAAAAATTTTCTTTCTACCACGTGCAACCCCGCTTAAACTCTCGAAGTCCGGAATGTGGTACTTCGTGTCGGCATAAGGCTTTAGATAACCCCTTTGTAAAGGATATCTGGCGTCAACTAGATATTACGTACCTGCACAAAATACATATTTTAGTAACAACTCAGGAATATCTAAAATATTTGTTATAACAACGCCCAAGAGGGGGGTATGGGAAGTAATGAGTTTGACGTCTTGTTGCAAATTTAAAAACACGACTATCGTGAGCGTTGTCTTCCCATGACGTGAGCGTTGTCTTCCCATCCGGCCATCACAAATGTAAAACACATATTAAAATCACAAATGGTCATCACATTCTGTGTGGTAGAACCTCAACGTCCAATATAGGCTACTTTGTCGATTTCAGATACACGTGCATCAACGTGAATTTCATCAATAGCTCTTATACAATCCTAAATATAAAAATATTTCAATAATTAATGAATGAGAGTTTCAATATAAAAATGTTTTAATAGCTCTTATATAATCCTAAGTTAGTAATAAGATGTTTAAGATATACCTTGAAAAACAGCATGTAACGATTGTCATTCACAATTTGTGTAGGCATGGATTGAAGTGTGGGATCTTCAGGCTTAACTATCTTAGAGGCTAAACTTACTAGTGCATTCAGACCAATGGAGAAATACCTGCTAATAGTCTCCGATAAATGTTGAAATCGCTCCATGGTTCCTCTAATGGACTCATTTTGAGATAAAATAGAGAGTGTAATTGCTAACACCTCTCTTGATGTCATTCTAGTAGAGTCATTCAAACCATGATAGTGTTGTAGTACGTAAAGCAGATCGATGAAAATATCGAAGAAGTTTACCTTCTGAGAATGTTGAAGAAGGAGCTTGCCGAGGAGGAACAGCGGAGCTAAAGGAAACAGATAAAGCGACCTAAAAATCAGGGGATAAGAATATGTGGGAAAGAATTTAAGAGGGAAGATGAAATGAATGAGAGGAGGGAAGATCGGGATTTATTACCAAGGTCGGAGAAAGCTGCCTTCCGCGGAGGCAGAGCGGGGCAAGCTTCCTTCGGCGGAGGCAGATCGGAGCTCAGATCGGAGCTTCGGCGGAGGCAGAGCTTGCAGCTTCCTTCGGCGAAAAACTTTTTTCGGCGGAGGCAGAGCGGAGCAAAGTGGCGAATATGAGTCTGAAGCCAAGTATTAGAGCACGAGGGAGGGGCAGTCGCGTAAAAGCGGGCGTTCGAAACGTTGATTGCGGGTCGATTCTCACGATCACGTTTTACTCCATTTTCAAACGACGTTTACAAAAAAGCTCCCCAAACGCGCTAAACAAACGGTACGGCGGCGTTTTCAAAAACGCCGCCGCACTTATAAGCTGCCCCAAACAGACCCTAAATTATCCACTAAAAGTCAATGGATCATTTTGGCAAAAGCATAATAATGATAGCACATTCACATCTAAAGAAAAGTGAGTGAGAAGTATGTCATAGCATTTTCTCTAACAAATTTAATGGTTGATAAAAATATTGCAGACTGACCATAACATAAACAAGAATCAGATGATAAAAAATAAGGAAATGCACAGCTTGTGATTCTAAAAATTTATGTTGCCATTGTCAAAACCTCGGATGCACTTCCTCTCCAATTACCATAGTTATCACATTATCCAATTATAGCTCATCCCAATTAATTATTCTCCCTTGGATGGTTGGGAACCAGAGATTAAATCCACCAGCGCCAAAGTCATTTAAAGTGGATTCAATGACAGCCATCAAAAATAGAACTACGAGTAGGATTCAAGCAATTCTGGGTTATGCCATAATAAGTGGTGAGGATTTGAATCCCGTTTACCTATAATGTTCAATAATTGGCAACATTGATTACAATGATATTCATCTAGTGTATATAATTAACCCGACAAAAAAATTATTAAGGACTTAAACACAAGTTTAAAGAAAATTTTGGAAAAGACATCAACCCTTCAACTTTTGAGCTGAGGGATATTTGAATTTTAAATAGGAGAAGCACTAAATTTATTCCGTTCATACAATGAAACAAAAAGTAAAGTGAGTGATTGCATAACAGCTGTTAGGAGGAAGTAATGGAATTGCATCTCCAAAATTAAAATAAATAATAGAACTGCGAATAAATATGATTCCAATCAAGAAAAATAAAGCATGAAGTAGCAAAGAAAGTTGAAAATTCTATCATTTGATCAAAAACAAAACTAAAAATGCTAAAAGAATAAACTGTCAAAATAGTCTCTGACTATTTAGATGAGGTCGTTTTGGTCCCAGAGTTTATAGAAGTGTCAAAATAGTCGCAAACTTTTTAATTTATGGCTAAAATAGTCCCTACGAAGGACTACTAGAGCGCAATTTTACTTTTAGTTAGAGACTATTTTGATATTTCTATAAACTATGGGATTAAAATGGCCCCATGTAGGTAGTCGAGGACTATTTTGATACTTCAATCAATGCTAAAATATTAAGGTGAGGCTCTGAATCTTACATCTTAGTTTCAATGATAATAGCAGTGGTGTGTAGTGAGGGCCATTTAATTGTGTCAGATACTGTTACGAGAAAAAACCTGAGCACTTGAAAATAAGGAGAATACTTACCTCCACGTTAAGTCCATTACCCAAATATGCAGTCCCCCAATCTCTTCAGCTGCTACGAGAAAATTTGGCTCGCAAACTGACATGCAAGAAACTCCCTTCCCGGTTGTCAACTTTGCCATTGTTGAAACATAACCAAAATTTACTTGAGCAATTTCTAGGGTTGTTACTTCAGAAGACTCGGATACGCAGTTTGAACATAAACATCTGATATTTTTTTCCCTAATAATTTACTTGCTCAATTAGAAATAGCATAAAGAACATCGATTGATGTTATAACAATATCAATTCCAAAAATTGACAGTATTTATATAAAACCTGCATCGTGGTACTTTGATGCTGTTGACAAAAATCAGTGACTGCCCATCAGGAGTCAACTGTAATGCAGACCTTTCAAAAGGAATCTGAATGAAGGAGACATAATTCAACTCTGTTTAAGTTAGAAAATCTTTCTGAAACCAGTAACAAGCTATAAAGAGCGTATGGAAAGCTATATAAATTCTGTTTAAATGCTTACATTTCTGTTCCATTGGTTTCTTACAAGGGGTAACACAAGTGCAGTGTAACCAAGAAAGGAAGGACAGCCTCTCCTCTGCTTTTGATCAGAAATAGCATACATAAAAATATGTCTATTGTTCCCGTCAGGAAAGCCACATAAGACACTAAGTTTTAATTGATTTCCGTTTTCTGTTAACATTATGGACAATACAGGTTCTGGATGCAAATAGCATCCAACAAGCTCCATATCCCCGTCATTCCAGCTCAACCTTTTAGTCAATGAGCCATCAGAAAGGCTTCTCTTATAGAGGTCATCATTAGGAGGATTTTTACCGTCATTGTTAGTTGTTGGTTGTAATACAAAATTCTTTTCGGAGAAGGATAAATTTTCCGTAAGAGAGCGGCTCTTGTAAGAAGGCTGTAGCTGACTATGAGCAAATGCTTTGCTTCCTTCAGGAATTTCTTTTATCCTCGCTTTTACTTGGACTGGAGAGCATAGTCCAGACAAAGAAAACAGATTAACAGCATCCCTAGAGTCTTCATTGAAACACAAAGGGGAACGATTAGCCTGAGGCATATCAATAGTTCCTTTCACATTTTTATCCACATCCTGATTTTGAGAGGCCTTGGGATCAGCTGTGAGCCAGTTGGCCTCAAAGCCAGATCGATTTGGAATATTTCTTAAATTGATTTCTGGTTCAGTAGTCTTAACTTCATCCAAAGCAAGCATCCTAGAATCTGCATGGTAATTTATATGACTGGATTTATAATTTTCAACTGCAACCAAGGGTATTCTATTAGATTTCATCTCCAGACCAACAGAATTATTAAAATTTTTGAATAATATAGTTTCTGACAAGTTGAGTCTCTGAGCTTCAATTGTATCAACCAGTATCCCTCCAGTAACACCCTTTGGTGTGCAAGGCAATGAATGGTTGTCCTTCTCACTCATAGGTTCAGCTTTATTGATTTCCTGCATACCAAAATTAACCTCAATGGGTCTATAAGTTATACGTTTCTCCTTTATGGATCCAAATGTATTGTGACTTTCAATAGCTTCCTTAGAAATTTCATTATCAACTAAATTGTCAAGAACAGTGCAGAGAGCAGGAGTGCACTGTTCAAAATTTTCAGCTATACTAGGGACCTTCCCTAAAAGCACTTGGAAACTTACATCTTCAGCATTTTGCTTAGATTCATGATTAAAATGCAGAAAGCTACTCTGCATAACACAGGCAGCATCCATGGAGATAAGATCTTCAGTTAAATGGTTTGAATTCTCTGCTGTGTTCTTTATGAAATCTGCATTAGTCTCTTCAACTGGAGAAACATGCTTGGCAGGTTCAACAACGGTAATCATTAAATCAGCAAGTGCATCCTCTGTACCTGGAGCAAGAACTTCAAGATTGTATGCATCATTCTGAGAAAAACATTTTAGCTCATCAACCTCATCCACATCAGTTATAAGCAAGCTGTTCCCTTTCGCATCAATTTGAGGTACCATCTCAGATTCATCGAAGCCCATACATGGATGTTCTTTCATAGAGGCGCTGTATGAATTTATGTCGTTGTCAAAGCTATCAGGAATGACAGACATGGGATCATTTGAACTTCTATTTCCAGAAAATGGCTCTAAGTGCAGGTTAAAACTATTAAAATCACCAGGCAAACAAACTTGTGATAATGTCTTTGAAGCATCAATAGCCTTCTTAATAGTCTTTTCTGGAAGCTGGGTACCCGTTCCAGCCACAGGTTTACCTGCAAAAAAAAGAAATATGTCTACTCTAGTCAATCCAGTCAGACCAAATCACTCAAAATAGCATGCTTATTATTTCTGAAAATGGCGGATCAGTTCTCCAATGTGAGTGATTCAGCTTGACCAAATTCAGCAAAAAAAAATAATAAACAAATAAATAAAATAAAGAATATCCTTATAGTAAAAAATTAGCACCCTTCAGCAGTGGGAATTACAGAAACTAAAAATTTGGGTGCCTAACCCATGCTTGCCAAATAGAATAGGTAGCCCTGCTGCATTAAAGTCAGTACCTTGATGCATAATGTTGTTGAGATGGTCATTTACAGTATTTCGATCTGCAGAATTCCCATCATTCAGATTACAACAAGGATCATTAGCTTCCAGACGTTTTACTCTTGATCGTCTTCTCACATAAGTTTTCTTAAGTAAAGGAACTGCTTGTGGAAGCAAAAATGTCATCATTGATTTTGCCAACTCCTGTCCTGCTAAATTTAAGTCATCATCTTCAAAACTTCGACCGGAAGATCCAGAAGAGCCAACTTCTGGAAGCGAATCTTTAGCTACTCCCTGATAAATACCATCCTCTAGGTTGCAGCCAGAGTGAAAGACATCCTGTGGAATTAAGAACCTAGGTTCTGAAGCACATGGGACGCTTCGGCAAGTCAAATCCTTGAACTCACTCTTAGAAACAACTTCTAGTGAATGAGATTCGGAAGCTCTAGACAATGGCTTAACTGCAACAATTTCATTCTTCATGCAGGTAGGGGTTTCATTCAAGTGATCCAAAGCAGAAATTGCAACGTCACCTGTAGGAAGAATACATTAGCAAATGTCATAAGAAGCATTTTAGTTTACACGAGATGATAAAAACTAAAATCAAATGGAAGAGCAGCACCTACTAACATCAAATCCACAGCAGTTTTTACCAATAACAGTGTCACAAATATCAGAAATGTAGGCATCTGAGAAACTTCCCAAGGCCGTGGCTTCTCCACAATCATCATTTGGCACTGATAAAGTTGGATTATTCCTTCTATTTACACCATCCGGACACCTATCAAGCTGTGAGAAGAATTAATTTGTTCGTCCAAGATACTTAATTGTTTCAAAAAACAATGCTGCATTTCATCATGCAAAGATAATGCAGCTTTATAAGCTTCAGTTATGTAGCATTAAAGAATTATCAGAATCAATCTCTATGGGATGGGGTTGGAGGGAGAAAGATGCCTAGCAGTTTAGAAAAGATCGAAGATCCTCAAAATAATAAAAGTTCTATTCTTTGCTTGAATTGAACTGCATCGCAATGAATTACTAGATGCATGTACCAGATTTAAAATGATTTATTTTGAGGCAGTAAAGCCTGCTTCAAATTAAGCTGCCTTAATTGTTTAAAATCAAATTTGATATATACAAATAACATACATGTACATGTATTTATTATCTATAGAACAAAATGCATAAATATAAAAGCATATTTTATGCGTAGGAAAAAATGTATCAAATGGATTTCTAATAATTAATACTAGCGTTAAACTTGCTCAAATTTTATTCAAGAGCTGATCTTCAGTTGGCATGCAATTGTACATCCAATTCATAAATTAGGATCGGATCAATCCAATCGTTAAGTCAATGAAGTAGAAAAGCAAATCAAACAAGAATAATAGGTTTTGTAACAATAATGTTCTAATAAAAGTGCCAATTTTTAGTAATCTAACATCAAATAAACAAAGTGCATCAAAATAGTATGATAAGGAGCATGAAAGCATTCAATTCGTCACAAATCTAAAACGTAAAATATATGTCGGTACTTAAATATCTAGTAATTGGGCCTTAACTACAGGCTTAAACCTTCTAGTTGAATATAAATTTAATATCATATCTATAGGGCAACTCTAGTCCCCCTTTTTGCTCTCAAACCTTAATTTTAAAGTCAAAACCTACTTTGGATTTGTTTTATGGTATTTTATGCATACCTAGATAATACAATAATGCTACCTAGCACAAAGAGATAATTGCATAGTGTTGAGGGGCATCAACCTGTCTTTCACATTCAACAAAATATAAACGAAGAATTCAAAGAAGCGATCAATGGAGTGATCGGAAGTTAACACGACGGGATTTCTCTATTGATTGATTGAAAATAACTAAATGGCCAAAGATGATAGTTGGAAGTCTAAGGCTTTCTTAAGAGGAAATCAACCACAGTAAATGGGTTGGTGACCAGCTAGGAGATCTAACATAAGAGGTAGCGCATTTTCCTAAATCTACGTGAGCATTGAAATAGATAGATTCCATTGAATTCCAAAGTCTCTTATACCCTCCTCCTGATGTTCTCTATGCAGAGTACTGTTCCCATTTTCACGATCATCATAGCTCCAAAGCACGTAGTTACCTAACAACGGATATGAGAGTTGAGAACTTGAGATAACTTGGAAGTCTATGAAGAAAGTGGGAGCAATGGCATACGAAGATGAGAAGTTAAGGATTGACTGCTTCGATGACGAGGACTTCATGTAATGAAAATTGGAAATCAAGAACCACTTATACAAAAGAAAGTTGCACTGACCTCTCCTTGGTTCAAAAGATGACAACTATGAGTCAAGAAAAAATTGGGTTCTCCCAGGCAAGCGGGAGTTGGAAGCAATAAATCTATGATTAACACAAAAAATGTTATATTTAACGTACTTCATGAAAAGAGCACAATTGATGTCATGAAGGCTATAATGGCACATTTCAATAAGTTTATTCCAATCACAACTTAATAATTGCTCGGCTGACATCAATTGCAATGACAAGGCTCATGCATTAACCTGTATCATCATTACATGAAAGATAGAGTGAAACTATAGCACTTGAAGGAAATTCATGATATTTATGAAGCTAAAGCTAAATTATGCTTATACATAATCATTAGTGAGTCAAAAAATCAGGGTAAGGTAAAAGTTTTTTTTTTTTTAATGTAACTTTGTATCTTAAAACCTGAGTTAGAAGTGCAGGAAGTGGCAACAAATCATAGAATAGGATCCAATCCAAAGGTCACGATAGTGTATACTTGGATCTAGCATTATTGGCTGCATGAAAGAGATTGTACATAGAGGAATGATAAATAGAGCTCAAATCAGATAGAGGAATCTACTAATGTTCTTTTTGATGCACTATTACATATTGCGGTAGTGTTATTGAGTCTTCGATCTTTTACTCATGTGTAACTTTTCATTTAGCACCATATAATAGTTTTATATATATAATTATTCTGCAATAGATTATAAGAAGGTTCGTCTTGCTAATGAGAACTTTTAATTTTTGTTGTAGCCAGTGATGTACAAAGAGAGACAATTCATAGGACTATTGAGAAGCTTCACAATATTAGCACGTTCCAAGCTTGAAGAAAAACCCGATTTTAATTTAGCAAATTGGCAAAAAAAAAAAAGATTACATTTCAACCTTTCGAATTGATACTAGAAAGTGAATAAAAATGCATTGGTGATAACACATAAAAGCAAAAATGTTTCAAATACATGATATCAAACATTAGAATAGTGAAAGAAACTACTAAATCCATTGTTGAATATTTTAAAGGTATGATGTGGGATAAAATTTCTAATTGGAATCTTCCAAAATGCAATTTGGCATCACAAGACATAACATTTCAAGAACTATAAGTGGTAAGGTAATCTGGTTAGGATAACAAATTATTATGTTTATCACTGATAGAGTGTTGTACTGTAAAATCTCAATCAACCTTAACAGATAAGTAAGATGTGGCACTAAAAAAAATGACCAACTCAATATAGTACATCAAAATCTAATATCCAAATACAAGCCTGTTAAGCTATGAAGATAATTTTCTTACCAATCTTAATTTCAAAGTCAAAACCAACTACCTTGATTTGTTTGTGTTATTTATGTATCCCTAGGAACTTCATCTAGCCTTTACAAATAAGTTTCCTATTACCTAACATCTACATTTTTTTAACGTACCACCTCTAACTGTTATATAAGATGATAGTTGCATGATTTTGAAAGGCATCACTCATTCTTCAACTTATTCAGCCCTATGTAAAGGCGGAGGTCTTAGTTGATCAAGGTCAGCAATTATCTTGGTCTATGTCATGCAGAGATATTTTTCTAGCAAGTGCTCAAAAATAACCACTAAAATTCTAGAGCTAATAGTAGAAAGTTGAAGGTCTTCTTAAAAATAAAACAATCATTGCCACGAGAGCATATGGCCAATGTGCTGAGCCAACAAAGAAAGCTACAGGCTATCCTTTGTCTCTACTAAACATAACCAATGGAGGAATCATGCTCAAGCTTGGAGAGGAAACAAATAAGTGAAAGAGAAGGAATACTAGTGTGATAAAAATGTGAAGAATATTTTAGTGAACTAATAGTTGTATTTTATTTTTGTCTGCGGGACACTTGTTTTATGCTCTTCCCATGGGGTTTTCCTTACTAATTATTTTTCTTATTCTCATGAATGCATTGCTCTATGGGGAGGTGTTTTTCCCAAACACTTTTATCCACACTAACTAAGAAATTATATTAGAGAAAAGGTTCAAGTGGGATTGAGTTAAGTCATACAGTTTATGGCTCTTATATAGCTTGGCCCCTTCTATAATGATTGAGCAAAGTTCAAAAAGTAATTCCTAAATATGAGACGCATAATTAAGTGAACTCTTAGTGCATAAAAAGGGATGATATTAAAAAAAAATTATTTAAGGGGAAGTGAAAACTAATGTGGAGAGCTTGCATGAGGGGGTGGAGGGAATTATGAAGCTGCACAAAAAATAATATTTTGTTCCAACCTCAAATAAATGAAAATTAAGTTAGTGTATTACCAATTAATTGACCATCACCCATAAACTTATCCTTTTAAAATAAAAATGAGTTTAATCACTAATTTATCAGGCTCAATTTTGATCTCCTTTTGGTCCAAAATCCATAACACAGAATTGGGCATTTTTGTTCGAACAATTGCATGCCCCCTAAATATGTTAGTTGTAAAAGTTCCATATAAAATCTTTATTATTATCCTTTCTCACAAGCATTTACAGAAGTCCCATAGAAGTTAAGAAGAGTAAATATTATTTTATTTACATTAAATTAATTTCTTTTCTACTTTAAAATGTTTTATTTATTATACTTTATAATTGAATGAAGATAAATTAAAATGTTTTTTTCGATTTTATAATTTCATTTTTTTTATCTTTTGCACTGCATTAAATGAAAAATTAAATGAAATTAATTAAAGAAAGAAATAACATATAAGTTAAATGAAAATCAAATAATTAAATCTATAAAAAGTCACAGTTATTATGCTAGCATAGGATTTTATTGTACCCGTGCATATTGAAAGAAATGGAAATAGAAATGTGGTCTTTATGGTATAAAATGAAAAAAGAAATAAAAATCGTTGTGTTTTTTATGGTACAAGATAGAAAAAGTATTGATTGTGCTCCTAAAATAGCTTTTTAAAGTAAAAAAATGGAAAAAAAAGGATTAAATGAAAATGAAAATACACTCAATAAGATAAGTAAATTTCATTTTATAAAAATGAAAAAGACAGTTTATTTTTTTATCAGAATATTTCTTTCAGCATTCACATTATTCATTTGCATAAAAATGTAATGCATAATAAAATACTAATTATTCACTAAGTTGCTTAAACTTGACATATTATTTAGCCATCATTTTCACGAAAAAAAATCTGCTAGATTGGTATGACTGATAGTAGAGAGTTTGTTTACAGGATGAAATGCAATGTTGGTGATTGATAACAAGTCGTCTGTTTTTATGTTATCATTTTTATTGTTTTATTTGTTCTATTATCACTAGATAATGTTATGTACATGTTGAAAAATTTCTTTACTTGTGTATTATGGATTATTGATTGTTTTCTAGATCATGAACTAATGTTAATATTTAGAAATGTCTTACACTTTCTTTCTTGCCTAGTTATCTCGGGTTGAATCGTTAAAGATTTCATTTCAAACCGACTAGGACTTCACACCAAATAAAATTATTATTAGTAACAGTAAAAGAATAACAGAAGCATTTAGAAAGTACAGAAAGTCGTCAAACATTGTTAAGATACCATGGTGATTACCTTAATTTTGATTGCATTGTTGACACTATGTAGGCCGGTGTTGAACCTACAATTGTTAGCATCAATGCAATTATTCTGCTGAGAAACAATGTGTTTATTAATAACAGAGTCAGAACAATCCAAGCCCATCAAAATATTCTCAGAAACAAGAACGGAATGGCATTTTGCTTCTGGTTGCCTTTGCATAATTAAACTAGTTTCTTCATTCTCATTACCATTAGCAAATGAAAAGATTTTGGTTTCCTTTTGACACTGAAAATCATATGGTTTTTGATCCATTATACGGGAAAATGTGCCATTTGGCGAGGTTCTATAATGGTTAGCAATACCCTCATTTTCAGAATCTTCGTTACGTGATACAAAGTGTTTTCTACTAAATTGTGTGATTTTGCCATCCAAGGAAAGAGAACACAAATCATCTATTTGTTGCAAAATACAAGTCTTTGAATCACTTTGTAAACCCCAGTGGCAGATCTTTCGTCTCGCCTCCCTCGTAATATCTTCTCTAGCATTTCTCTTCTGAATCCTCTTTCCAAAGTTATGATTTTCTTCCAAGGAAATGGCTAAACGAGGGAATTTATCAGAAACTTGAGGATGTATTTGATCCGTGCTCTTAGATCCACTGTATAGGAAAGGAGCAGGTAAACTTCTTCTTTGTGTCATGTTCACAAGCTCACGAAGCAGCCTCTGGATGGAGGGATTTTTCAATCCAAAAAACTGCAAGAAAGAGAAACAGAGGAGAATAAATAAGATGAGCAAGATATACATTAAAACTTAAAAAAAAATACTGTTTCCTGCTCACCACACAAATAAGATGGCAGCATCTCAACATGATCTTTATCCAGTTACAACTCATGCAAGGAAAACAGTGTGTTAAGAAGGCGAGGAAATCATCATATTTAGAAGGCAGCAACCACCTCTTTTAATTGTAAAAAGTCGCACAAGCTTTTTTTTTAAAAACAAGCTTGCATTATACTATGTCAAAACTGCTTATCTAATTTTTTTCAAGGAGGGATATCTCTACACAAAAAATTTACGCATTGTTTTTATGATCATCAGTATCTTGAATATTCCCCACTTAGTGGGATAAAGGCTTGTTTGTTGTTGCTGTAGTATCTTGAATATTGTTTTTTTTTTATCTACATATACTATTTTTCTAGATGAAGTTACTGAAATTTTAATAACATCCTTGCCTCGGCACCATCAATCTTATTTGAGAACCTCCTCCCATTCCAGTTCTTCACTCTGGGACAGTTCTTCTGGAAATTCTCCCAAGCAATATCAGGAGTTTGACCACTAAATGAACTCCCATCAACTGCTGTGATCTGCGAAATGCAAGATTTCAGACTATAGAGTAAGAATTTATGAGAGTTATCACAAATGTTGGCGTTCAATAGTTAAAAGGTAGACAAAGGGGGAAAGTTTTGTTAACATACAACAAATAGAGGCCCTTTCAGACCTTCACAAACTTTCATCTGACAAATATTTCCATCAAGAATTCGAACAGCATGATAACCAACTGGATAAGGGTAACGGTCTTTTCCCTGTTTAAACAAAGAACTGCATTCTTATAAAAATTATTCTACCCACTAAAATTTGCCATCCAAACAGCAGTAAATAAATCTCTTCAATGGATGGCAATTCTCAAGACTTATGAGCAATAACAAGCTAGCCTAAATCAAGGAAAAAATAAAAAAAGATATTTGAACAGTCCAATGAAAATGTGCTTGAGAGTCTGACAATTATACTTGTTATCTTTTACCAATCATTCCAAGCAGTGTGAATCCTCCTCTAATGTAACAACTTAGATCCACAAACAACAAAACAAGCTCATTCACTTGTATAGAGCTAAAGATTAAGAATTTGTTTTCAACAAGAGCATTGAAGAAATTTAGACAAAGCAAACAACTGTAGGATATGAAACAAAAAAAATAGATGGGTATTTTACACAGCACAATCAAAATAAACCAGGTTGAAAAGAAAAATATGGTATAAAATTCTGATAATTGCAGAAATAAATAAAACAATGAGGCGAGATTAACAAAAAAAATGAGACCCTTACCTTTAAGATTTCAATAGCAAAAAGATTCCTGGTTTAGTATAGTCCTGTGGACATTGGATGGGGCAGAAAACTGTAAGCATATATGGTAAAAGAGATGAAAGCTGGAAAGTCTAAATTTATTAGGAAAGTGAATTATGAGCACTGATGTTGTTCCTTTTTCTTTCCTAATTCATTTCAATGTAAAGCATGCTAAAATGATGGTTCCCATTAGAGTGGGTTTTATTCACTATTATTTTGCTATGTTCTGGGGATTAAATCACTGCTAAAAAGTTCTAACTAAGCCAATTGACTTCCTTATCTCAACAGTTTTAATTCCTCATTTTAGCAAATACCCAATTCTCTATCATGAGGTTGACTGGAGTCATTGGACAGCCACTATACTATCCAGATGTTTCTCAGCTGTTGTTACTGCAAACCCCTCCATTCTTGCTAATTGATTGTTGAATTCCTTCTCTAGCAGTTGATTTTATGTGATTGTATTGGGCTTTTCTTGGATTTAGATTTATTGGTTTCTTCTAACAGTAGCAATATCATATTTCACGTGCAGAACTGCTGCTGAATTTTCTTATGAGGGTGTACATGTAGTCTTTCATTATATGACCATCAATCACCCTTCTGGCAAGTCTCTAGACCTTGAATTTTACAGTTTTGAGCTAACTGAATTGTTGCCTCATGCAATTTTTCATCTGGGTATTTGTAAATGTGGCGCCTTAGCTCGGGTTATAAATGTTAGATTTCCTTGAAATGTGAAAGAGATCATCGTTAAAATTTTATGTTTGTTCACTATTTTCTTGTGTAATTTCAAATTATTAAATGATATGTTTGTTATTTTTACATAAAAATTAATGGATTTTGCTAAAATTAAGAGTTTATAGCATGAGAATTGTGATTTTGTTTGTGCTTTAAGTGTGCATCTCATCCCAACTTGAATTAGTAACTATAGAATATTAACTGCTCCACATCGATAAGAATCTCTTAAAGAGTGTTTGGTAGCAACTTTTAAAGCAGATTGGAATTAAGTGTTTCAAGCAGGTGAGACAAAGCGAGGAGGTGAAGGAGACAATGTCAAAATAAAAGATTGGAATTCAAGCCAACTGAAAGCAGTGAGTACTCTTACTACTAATTTACAGTATTACTATTGATTTACTCCAACTCAAATGCAAGGAATAAGATACGCTTATTTATATAGATAGATAATAAACCTTTTCATAATTCAACTACCCCATAAATTTTAGGGAAAATTACATAATAGCACCCAATTTTTATGGATTTATCTATCTCACACCCAAGCTTTCATTTTTACACACATAGCACTTTACCTATGGATGAAAAGATGGATTTGGCAATTAAAATGTGATAATGAGTGTTATTTTTCATATGATATTTATAATTATGAAAATTTTGTTGTTAAATAGATAAATATGAAAGTTTTATGTGCTATATATGTAAATACCCCGAAATTTTATTGGTCATATTTAAAATATATGCTACAGTTTATTTCGCATACATTGAATAATATTACATAGAATTATTGAATGATATAGATATGAGAATGAAATGAATTATATGACTTGTTTATATGTGCATGTTGAATATGATAGAGTTCACACTTTTATGATACTAGCTGGAGATACTAAAGCAATCATAGCAATTTATAAAATGATATTGATATTGAAGTGTCTTAATTGGTATATTTTATAGAGTGTTCTTGTGATAGATGGAAATGATATAGATATAGATAATTTAATGTATTATACCACTGATGTTTTAAACTTGAACAAATGATCACAATTGACATAATAAGATGTCACTTGTTTTTGCGTTGATTAAATATATTTAATTAACATGCATTTTTTTTCTTTTTCATTACATCAATATAATTTAAAAATATGAGCATTCACTGTTGTTAACTTACTGTATTTTAAACTAATGTTTTAAAGTTAAAATTCTAGAGTAGAAAAGAGTAATCAAGGAGAAAAAATGTTTATAGAATACAAGGTCAGCAAACAAGAAGATAAATTTATAAGTATGTTAATTTAACTTTCTTTCGTTAATGGTTATTTCAATTATTTTTAGATGATTAATTGTTAGTGATAGGAAATAAAATTAAACTTATATTTTCACCATATATTCCCTTCTTGGAAATTTCAAGCCCCGGAGTATGGTCGTGATAGCTTGACACTTAATGATATTAAAAATCGTTTATTTAATTAGCGTTAGTACCTAATTTGAAAGAATCTTATGCGAGAGATAAAAGTTTACAATCTACATGAGGGTGTAGACTATTCATACATTAAAAGTAAAATATGAGTTGCTCTCGATATATGATAAGGATCATACACGTTAGCTTAAGCCTTAAGATGATGAGTCTTCATCTATTAAATCATTGGGCTTAACTTAGGCCCACAATTTTTTTCAACCTGAGAAACTATTGAAGGAGCTAGAAGCAATGCTTCCCCCTTAAGAGAGAATTGGTATATTTTATTTTGTTCATTAGTAAAATTTCTATAAAAGGATGGTTGCAGGCATACATGTCAATGGCGAAAAATGGAAAACATCATGGTGCATGGTACAGTGCACCATCAATGTCATTTGCACGAGGCCTGACTCATCAAAATGTAGCACTATTTTCACCATACACGAGCAAAACGTATTGCCTTCATGGCACTTGCTAAGTTGAATTTTTAGATTTAATATAATAAAATAAAGAAAATTTTAACGATGCACATACATAAACATGCACACTCACCCACACACATACACGCAAACACACGCGCATGCACGTGTACCATACACGTGCACGCAGGAATACATACATACATATGTACATATATGGTGCAAAAATCAGCCCACATTATGTTGTTCACATGATAATGAACTATGTTTGTTTGATAAGGTTGATGATGAAGATAATGCTTTATGAGATTATAATGATGATGAAGAAAAATATTTTTATTTTACTTATGGTGATGATAATCATGTAGATGTTTGTTTAATTGATTATGAAAATATTAGACTCATAAAGAAAATCATAATATTTTAAATTTCAACCAATTGAAGTATAAAGGGCTTGAATTTTAAGATTATTTATATTGTTTTATTATATTTCACTTTATATTTTAATTTAATATTTTTTTAAATTTATATGAGGTTTTAAATACTTTTTTTTTATATTTTGCATTGTATTTAAAAATGAAATGTGTTGCACCACACGCTATGGCTCTTCGGAGACCTTTATGCTTTAATGTGACATTCGTCATTGGCAAGTATGGCTACATGGAAACAAAGTAGTTTCGATAGATGATATAAGAGATGGTAGTAACAATTGTAAAAGACTTCCATGTGAGAAAAAATTTTAAGATACACATGAGAGTGAAAAAAATGTCTACATCAAAAGCATAATAAGACTTAAGTTCTTGCTATAATGAGTGCCTTATAAGCATTAGGATGAGCATTTGACTTGGTTAAAGTTTTATTATTAAGGTAATGGATTCAGCTAATGCCACAAATGTTCTACCATCCTAAAAACTATTGAAGGAAGTCAAAGCAGTATTTTCACTTGAGTGAGAATTTGCATATATTGTTTTGTTCATTAGCAATAGTTTCATAAAATAGCTGTTTAAGAAAGAGAAAGTAGTGAAAAAGAAGATAGTACAAACAAAAGATAATGAATGGGTCATCCTGTTCTTAAAACAAAAGCCTGATGATGTTGAGGTAAATAACTCCAACCAGTTGAAAAATATATACATCTTTTGATGACTTAATGGCAAATGGCCGCACTAGAGCATCTGGGCTGGAGCCCTTGCAAGGAAGAAAGAAATGTCAGTTATGAACATGTGCCTTCTTTAGTTGTCTTACCATTTTAGCAGCATTACCTTTCAAATGACCGTCAAATTTTAAACCCTCCTAGTACCATCAAAACGTAACAAAACAAGAGATTTTCCATAAAACCCCTCAAAATTGGTTTTTGATAGCACAAATCGAGAATTCACGGCCCACGACAACACGAAAACCATACATATCGTGGTGACAATCTCCGCCACTAGAATGAGATCCCGGTCAGAATAAACAATAAGGAACATAAAATAAGGCACCAGCTAGCCGTGGCTAGACACTATATCTTCTGAAAATTTAGTGAGAAAGCAATGGCAGTATCATGGCTTCATTAAAAATATAAATGTTTTAAAATCCAAGTGAAATGTTACAAACCCTAGAGCAACTCCAGTACTTCTTGTCCCAGGGACCAACATAGAGGGAACCGAGGGAGGCAATCTCGAGGTCGTCTGGCTTCTCAAAACCGCGATTTTCCATCGTGGAGAACTCAAAAAAGGGCTTCAGAAATAAAGCCCTCAACAGAGTAGAAGCCGAAGCGTGAAATAAGTGAAATGGAGCAGTCGACTAGTCAAGAAAAGCCGTTCCCCGCCAGTATCAAAGTTTTATATTTTTTATTTTTCTCTTTCATTTGTTTCCCGCCAAAGTATGTTTTGCTCTTTTTCCATGCGCGGAATGTGTTCTTTTCTTCGTGCTTATTACCAGTGAGGATAATTTGAAAATTTAAAAAGACCGAATCAGGGAAAGGAGCTCTTAATTTTAGTAATTAGTGAAGAAGTATCAAAAAAATAAATTTTAAAATAGGAGCAAATGCATTCCTAGATGGGGGCACATATATGATGAATACGCGCCTCCAAAACCCTATGATTTTAGAATCCCCCAATTTGAAAGAAACAAGAGAGGGGAGATGATCCCTAGAGTATTTCTTATGCATGAAGTTAGCCCATAATGATTCCTTAGCTCTGAACTTAAACCACAACTTAATACAATTTATCTCAACAATGTGATGGAGTTCCTTAAACCCCAAACCCTCAGCAAGAGTTGGTTTACACATTTGCCTCAAACTCACCCAATGTTTCTTACTCTTAACGCCAACCCACATAAACTTATCAAACTATTTTTCTAATAAACTTTTGAGTACTAGATTTCATCTTGAGATCATGTAGTGCATATAATGGAATGGTATTTAAAATTCTCTTAAGTAATGTAATCCTGCCACCAAATAAAAGAAAAGTGTTCTTCCAATCATTAATACAATTTTTGATGTTCTCCAACACATCATCAAATTGAGTTTGTTTTGTTCTTCCTCTAAGCAAATTAACTTCAAGATACTTAATAGGGAGATCAGCTAGAGGGAAGCCCATGAAATTCTTCATCCACTGTCCCAAGGGTCTTTTAACATGCTTCCCCAAATAAATTTGGCACTTATATTTACTAAACATCATACTAGAGTTCATTTTAAAAGCATTCCAAGAGAGTGTAAATTTTTTTAATAGTAGCCTTACAAGCATTAGAAAATATTATAGCATCATCAGCATAAAATAGGTGGTTTATTATCATGTTGGATTTGTGAAAGAATCTTGTGTTATGATTAGAGTACTGCAAATTGTTAACCATTCGAGAAAAGTAATCAAAAGCAAGTACAAAGATTGTATGAGATAATGAGTCACCTTGCCTAATACCTCTGATAGCTAAGAAGTAACCATAAGTATTCCCATTGATGAGCACATTGCATTATTGCAAGCCAACCACCTCTCAATGAGACAACAAAACTCAGCTTTGAAACCCCTTCCTTTAATTACATCGATGATGAAATCCCACCTAATACAATCATATGCCTTCTTTAAGTCTAGTTTAATGATCATGTTACAACCTCTGCACTTTTTATCCAAGTCATTAATCAATAATTGAGCAAGCAATATGTTGTCAGTAATACCCATTCCTTTAGTAAAAGTAGAATCATTTAAAGAAATGAGATGAGGCAAGTGAGATTGTATCTTGTTTACCGTGATTTTGCTAATTATTTTAGATAAAATTGAAGTTAAATATATTGGTTTAAACTGCTCTCAAGAAAATCTATCTTTGTTTTTGGGAATTAGAATGATAGTTGAAGTTGAGAAGTAAAGGCATGGATCTTCACCCTTGAAGTAACTTTGAATATCCCCCAGTACATCTTTTTCAATGATACTCCAGCATTTAATGTAAAAATCATCAGTAGCTTTGTTGCAATCAATACTAATCAAAGCATTTCAAATTTCCTCCTCATTAGGCACCTCATTAAGAACTTGATTGTTGCATAAGCTCTAATATCCTCAAAGAAAGCACAATTTATAAGAATTACTTGTTCATCCTATTTGAAGAGCTGTTCAAAATACTCCACTACACTCCTACCAATTTCCACAGGATTAGTGAGCCAATTACCATTGTTGTCCAATATTTTTAAAATGGCTTTAATACTTCCGTTTTATACAAACATGAAAAACCTAGAATTCCTATCTCCCTCTTTAAAATGTTTTTCACCAACCTTTTGTTTTAAGAGCTCTCCTCCCATTTAATAGCATTTAAAAGTTCCTTGTGAGCCTTGATCAGTTCATCATTCGCCCCCTCATTCCCCACATCAATTTGTTCAAGACTTTGAACCTTATTTTTAGCATTTTGCACCTTCTTATGTACATCTTCAAATGTATTCCAATTCAACACTCTAAGAGCTCTAGCTAATCCTTTGTGTAGTTTCCAGAGCATACACCAGGCATTACCAAGCTCTCTGATCTTCTAGTTTTAACTGACCAAGCTAATGAAATCCTGATGATTTGACCAATTGTTCAAATATTTGAAATGATATGATGCAGATTTCTCAAAGAATGTAATAGAAAGTAAAAATGGTTTGTTACCAGATCTTGTAACGCTGAGGTGATATACATTAGAAACATGGAAGTCAGTCAACAAATCCTGATTGGTAAAAATTTGATGAAACTCTCCCCCTTTTCAAGTATTGTTAGAACTAATGTAGCTAAGATCATAGAGCCTAGTATCATACATTTCATCATAAAAACTATTCATAAGCTTGGGGTCAACAGATCTCCCCCCTAATTTCTCAGAGTTATTTATAGTCATATTGAAATCATCCCCCACCATCTGATTGTCTTTAAGCTAAGAAACCATATAGCTAAGTTTATTCCAAAGGTCTAACCAAGCTGAGTAAATAGAACTTGTAGACAAAGACTGCCCAACCTGTTAGCATATCCTTATCAAAAGAAACATGAAGGAATTGAGAATCATCATAAATGATTGTTACATTAATGTATTTCCTTAAAGACAACCATATCTTATTTGTACAATTACTAGCAAAGTTGTATTTGATAAATATTTTCAAAATAATCTTACAACAAGTTGTAACCAAAGGTAGTATAGTAAAGCACCAAAGATTATGCATCCTACATAAATGAGAGAGCCTATCAAGGGAGCTAGGATCCACAATTCCCCTTATGTTTCTATAAGAATGTTATACATAGTTCATTTTCTTACTCCTCCTAGATGATCTAAGAAGGGCATGCAATCGGTTCCCATCAAAAAAATAATGTTCACTTTGATTGATTATGTTACTTTCCTCCAAATGCTTCAGCTCTTGATAACCTCTCTTCTTCCTTCTAGACTTTCGTGTTTGTTATTCCTCTTCCAAAACTGCCTTGGCAGTGCCAATTATCTCCCCCACAATGGTGCTATCAGCTTGGATCATCCCCTTATCAAGGTCATCAATGTTAGGGTCTTTGCCAATATTCTTTTTTGTTGCATCAAATTGCTCATTGATTTGATTCTCACCAAAGTTGTCAGTCTTTGTAGGTACAACATTACCCCCCACATCACCCTCTTCCTTAAAAATAACATTAGGAGTTCCTCCCCCCCTCCCCATGTTGTTCATGTTGTTCTTGAGCTAGGACTTGGTTGTAAGCATCCACCTCATCATCTTCATACATATTTGGTGGAGGTTTTTTGAATTCAGGATGATGGACACAACAAATTTCCACTAGATGTCCAACCATACAGCAATTGGTACTGTAACAAGGATATTGTTCTACCACCACATTTTGTCAGTATCCATTATGTGCAGTTCTAATCTAGACTTCTTCAGCAACAGCTTGCATAATGTCCCTTTTCCCTAACACCCGTGCTGCAGAAGGCCTAATGAGTGTGGGAATATCCATTTTGATATATCTCCCAATGATTGCACCAAATGAAAAAATATTTCATGATTTAAGGTGTAGTTTTAATTCTGAGAAACAAATCCAAATAGGGACAATGGGAGGTTCTATTTATGGATTGAAATCCACAGACCACTTGAGTTGCTCCATACTTTTATTTTCAATCTTCAAATACTTCTTAGCAAAGATCCATGTGTAGTCTTCCTCCCTAGTTAACTATATAGGAATGTGTCTACCATCTAGTAAGCCAATTTTTTAATTACCCAATAACTTCAAATTATTAAATAATTTATGAATGAGTCCCATTTTAGGATGTCCATAAATATACTTTCAACTAGTGCAAACTTACACGAAAAAGATATGTTTGCATTATCTTGCTCGGATAGAAAGATAGCAAGTTGTCGGCCTTCAATGGTCTCATCAGCATTTTTATCTTGTTTTATTTTGTTTTTGAAAATAGTAAAATGTTTGATATATATATATATATATATATATAAATATATATAAGACCAAAAGACCTCACATATTTAGTAGTTAAATAACTAGACACAACACCACAAACAATGTACCTATCTGAGGAATAAACATGTTCCTTGTTAGCAGAGCTCAATTAAATAAACTAAAGAAAATTTATGACAACTGTTTGGTCTGTGAACTCCTATTATATGTTGGCTTACAAGTTTATCAATCTAATATAAAGATTAGACAGGGTTTATATTACTTGGGTTCTTTTGTTCCTTATGAAGGCAAGCCTTAATAGTTTATTACATCCTAACTGACCAAAGTCATTTAGAAAAACTATCGATAATGACCAGAGGTGTTTGCCTTCTAGATTACAAAATTTAGTTTTCAAGGTTGGACATGGAAAAATCAAATGGGAGTGGATCGAATATGAGCAATTATTTCTGGAGTTTAAGGGAGAAAAGAAGTAGGGGATGTGATACACCAAAAAAAAGTGCAATTTTATGTATATTATTTTATGCTTAAAATTTTATGCTTAAATTTGGTGATATTGCACATTAAAGAAACTTATTTCATGTTTTGTTGCAGGTATAATGATTTTAGGCATTTGGAGAAAAAATGAGCAAGAAGGAGGAAATTTGGAGTCAAAATGAAGCTTTTCAGCATCCTGGCGCTAGAACTAGCACCATTTTACAGAAAGCTGGCGCCATAAACTGGTGCTAGAGGCTCCAAAATCCATAGAACAGTGCAAAACTTCAATACACTGGCGCCAGAGGCTTCAGAGATGAATTAAGTCGGAGTAAGGCGGTTATTGACTATTTTTTAGCAGTTCTAAAAGGCTCCAATCAATTCAAAGGCCCTATAGAGTGATTCAACGCATCTAGATACTTTGGA